TTGAGGATATGAATGAGTCCGGAAGGGAAAAAAGACACACCTTGACCAGATTCGCATATTTTTCTACAAATGGGTCATAGACTGATTCATGTACGTAGATACGCTGTGAAATGCAGTACGTTGAGGATTAAAGTGCATTGAAAAGATAGACCAAATGAAAGAAACATACCTCAACGGCGCAGCAGCTTTGACCAGAGTTGTACATGGCACCTATGCACAAAGTATAGGTAGAACTATTTAAATTCAAGGAAGAAGACACACCATCCACGAGCTCGGCGACTGTATAGTCCAAATCAGCGTCCGAACGTACATATGCTGGATCTTTCCCTCCAAGCTAGAGCAAGAAATAAACCTGTAAGCACTCTAATATCTCACAGATAGACATACCTCGAGTGCAACACCCTTGATTCCTTTGGCACCTACTGCAGCCTCCTCGACAGCCCTTCCACCCACAACACTCCCAGTAAAGCTCACGAAATTAACTTCTTTACTCTCTATCGCATGTTTGGTCAATTCAGGAGACATATGGACGACATGAATGACGTCGGACGGGACACCAGCTTTTTGAAGCGCAGTTACGAAGCGTTCGGCTGTCAGGGGAGTCTGAGGGGATGGTTTAAGTAGGACAGCGTTTCCTGCGATCAAGGCAGGCAAGACAGAGTTGATTGATGTCAAGTAGGGGTAGCTGCGTAGGGTTTCGTTGAATAAATAGATAAATATAGCTGAATAGACCTACTTCCAAGGAGCAATCACTAAAACAACTCCAAGCGCAGTGCGTCGAATGAATCGCCTAAATCCAGGCTTATCGGTGTCTGTAAGGGGGACGTCTGCGAGCGCTTCGTTCGCAATAGAAAGCATGTATTGAGCACGGTCAAGGAACCCATTAATTTCGCTGGGAATTTGAGAAATGGGCCGGCCCATTTGCATCGTTAGCTCGAGGAAAAGAGGAGTCGAGTTTGTCAATGATTTGAACTCGTCCTAGATAGTTGGTTAATACAGCTCGACAGCTCGATAACAAACAAATGAATGGACTTGCGATGAACTTGTATCCGATAGCGATCCGTTCAGCCAGGGGTACTTTACTCCATTCTTTTTGAGCTGACGCAGCTTTAGCAATCGTAGCATCGAGCTCGGACGTGGAAGGATACTGGCGGGTGACGAGAGGTTCTTGCGTATGGGGGACAATGGTGGTTTGGGACATGATGAGTATGATTATGATAAGATAATCGGAGTTATCGGAATGTTTTCTTCCGGCGTGACTTCGCGTTTCAGTAACGTCCTCCCGCACGTCACATAAGATAGGCGACACCCAACTGAAGCCACGCGAGCATGTCACTGTGATTGAACCCCACTATGAATTAGCGTAAATTAGGCCTCAAATATGCTTGGTCCATAAGCAGACGGAACACGCACAGAAAATGGATTGACATTGATTATCATTGATAGGTGCGCTAGTTTGAATCCTTCTCCGAATTAGCGTAAATGAGGCCCTCCAGTGCGGGGTTCAGTCGGGGGCCTGCGAAACCTTACCATCAATAATGGGGCTGGTGAATACAGCGGAATTTAGCGTCCAGCGGCAATCTGCCAAATTTGAAACTCCGTGCGCCCAGTGGCGCCAGCCCCGCTCATTTGCTGCGCACTTTCAAACCTTCGAGTTCAACCAGGTTCAACCAGCCTGTCGATCGACAACGTTTCGCTCATAGACAGGGTTGGACCGAGCCTATTTTGCTTTCGTTGCGCAAACTTCGTCAACGTCTCCCCTGCCCTCAGACATTCCTCCTACAAGCAAGTACAGGCCTGCAAGTACCCTCAAGTAACAACACCTTTCGGCCCCTCTTTACGGAAAAACCTTTGTCTCCAGTTGGTTCCCAACATCAGCAACTGATACTTAGTTGATGATCAATTTGTTGGTAGGCTACGGAGTCCAGAAGCTAGTGGCCGCTGGAGCTGGACGACCTACCTACTAGTACGTCGAGTGGGTGGTTGTTCCAGTCATACTGGCGGTATGCCAGAGACGCGTCGTCATTCGCGTAACCGTCAACCTCAGCACTCGACTTGATCCCGCGATTTTTTGCCTCCTGTCGCGGATGAAAAGTTGGTCCTGTCTCTCCTCTTGAAACATTTCGAACTGAAAGCGGAGCCACTGGCTTGGTTACTCAGGGCCTGTATATGGTGGAACGTATTATAATATCGTCGAAATACCAGGACGGTACACTGCCTTCCGGCAGCTACCAATTGTCTTTGATAGTGCCGGAGCACGTTCTTTTTGTGCCAGTGTAAGCAAATCCATTCCCGGTGCGTTCGGTTAAATTCAAAAAGGAAATGTTATGATATTGGATTACAATTCACCTCTCAGATGATAGATCTGCTGTAAGATCAATCAGGGACGAAACTTTCAAACAACCGAAGCATCCGAATTTAAATAACACCATTTGCCCTTAAAAAGGATGGCTATCAGGATCCGCCTCTCCAGAATTCGTCTCTTCTCGACGCGTCCACGATCTCAAATCGTCAGTATTTCTTTCCCCTTACATTTTGGCTGTCTTCACTAACAAGTTCTCGTACTCAGTCACGCACCTTTTATTCTCTCTAGCGAAATGCACGGAAACCCGCGTCAAGACACAATCTTCACGTTCGATGATAACCAACTTGATTTCGCCGGGCAGTCGTCTTTATCTAGCTCCTCAGAGTACTGGAACTATGGTGTGTAGAATTGTCTTCCGACAATCTGAGGAAACGTTGACGGAATAACAAAACAGGTCCGCATTCCTCGTCTTCATCTTACTCTGCACAACACAATACCCTCCCCTATGCGTCCTCGCAAAAACACGCACGCCCTTGGTCAAATGATTCGGTTACCATTGGTCTGGAGTCTTCGTTCCCCCGCAGCGTAAATTCGTATGATGCATCTCTGCGCAGTACAGATCTTCGAGAGCATTCCATGTTCGCTTCGAACACCGATCTAGACATGTGGCCTTCTTCCCAACTCTCATCTCACTATGTTTCTGACCCATCATGGGATAACATAGTATTTCCTGGTATCGATACTTCCGAAACTAAACCCATCATCCACCAGCACCAGCATCATATTCTCCCTAATATGATCTCGGGTTCCTGCTCTCCTTTATCGACTATATCATCCCCTTCCCCTTCTCCATCCCCAGTTCTATCACCATTACAAACATCTGGGCTGGACGACGTGCCCAAATCTAAATCAAAGACTAATAACAACGGCCCCATCCGTCAAAATGTGCTCCCATTGCCGCGCTACCTCCACTCCGTTGTGGCGACGGGAGCCCTCGACTCTCCGAACGCTATGTAACGCATGTGGTCTTTACCTACAGCAGCGAAACAAACTTCGACCACAGGAGCTTATCGACGCCGATTTGGACAATGATGAGACGGCGGATAATTCAGGTTCTGAACAGGACACGACGGGACCTCAATGTTCGCATTGCCGTACTCGTAATACTTCTGTTTGGAGACGAAGTAAAACTGGTGCGCAGTTGTGTAACGCGTGCGGTGTTTACGCTAGGCTTCGGGGTAGGGACCGTCCTTTGTCCCTGAAGAGGAACAAGATTAAGCCTCGTACAAAGCATAATAAATTGATGGACAAGCACTGAATATTGGTCAAACTAATTTGGCCTTTGTTTTTTCGGGTTTTTTTTTCTTCTTTACAGTATGTTCGTCGTTCTACTCTTACGACTTATTTTATATCTTAGCATTTTTGTACATAGAAGTAAGTCCAATTGTACCATGAATCCCAGCTTATGCTCTCTACTACTTTGTAGCGATCGACGTTGGATATCAATGAATGCTCAAGCTTCGTCTTTGTTTCATCGCACTACGCGCGCTCAATGTAACCCGTCCCAGCGCGAATTGGTCGGTAATTCACCATCGTGAGAAGCTATTTTCGAGATTTTCGGGATTTTCGTCAAGACCAAAGGAGAAAGGAGAAAGATGAAGACATGCTGGTATGATCTCTCTGGATTGCCTCAGCTTCCTTAGTAACCCCGCGGGAGGGCATGCATGCCCGTGATGTGAATGAAGCAGTTCATGACTCTGGTTGACTCAATTTTTTTTGAATGGCCAGTCTCGAAGGTACGTACTGCGGTATTCGTCCAAAGTCCCATGTCTCAATTGTTTCTAATTGTAAGTACTTACTGTACATACAGTAGAGCATTTAGTTATGTCTTATTAATTAGCACACGAGGCTTCATGGAATCGTCCCCACCTGTTTCCGACGTCGATCCTTCTTCTACATAATTAGATTGGGATCCGGGAACGCGAATGATAACGCGATACGAAAGGAGACGGTAAAACGGTTGAATGACTTTCCATGAAACGTTTTCGCTAACGAAGTACTTATCTATGGCGTCAATAATTAATCGAAAAGATGTGGATGTCTTGGGTTGCGCTCACACGACCATGGCCCAGGCTCCAGGAGAGCTGGTTTGGGGCTGGTGTCGGCATAGAAATCCTAGTATATACATCCTCACTGCCCTTTTTACCCTTCCCAATTATCAATAAATACAGACGGGATTTCTTACAAGTCGGGCGCATTCATATTTATTTTCAGGCAACGCTGAGGGGATGAATGTAAGTACAGACTCGCGAAAAACAGCTTTGACTAGCCGCCGGTTAGATCTTCGGAAGAATCTCTCATTCAAGCTCCAATCAGACATCAATTTCTTTTCTGATATGATGTCTGTCTCATTTCCGCACGACTCGGTGCTGAATAGATTTTTTCGTCACATCGTCGAACGTTTCAGTTTTGCAATTGCAAAATAGCTATTGAATCCTTGATAGGCTTTGTCGTCGTAAGTCCGAGTCCCTCCAAATAGTTGATTGGTACACTTACGCTCTTTTCGTGAATTTTTCCCTATCATCCTTGACAATATGTAAAGTAGAGCAGCGCCGCTGCTACAACGGAACGATCAAGTCTAACGATCTGTGAACTCCATCAAAAAGCTACACCTCCCACCACAATTGTAATATATAGCCCACCGCGAGGGTCGAACTCGCAGCCTTCAGATTCCTAGGTGATTAACCCGCCATAAAAGTCTGACGCTCTATCCGATTGAGCTAGGCGGGCTTGACAATTAGTAATCCTTTTAGCGTTAAGTCGTGGAAGTGAGGATCCGAGATCATATTTTCTACACTCATTTATACAACCCACATTCAGCAATATACCTCTTCACCCTCTCACTGACCATATTCTTCCATTGAATGCCTTCCGCCCTCGAGCTCCCTTCAACCTCTGTCAAGTTCGTGCCTCTCTGTCCCTCCATCTCTGTGGTCCTAGAGCCTTCCCGCACTCTTTCCCGAACCTCACTCGAACTGACATTCCATACATCCTCCCCAATATCGATCATTGTGATACAGGACGAAGGGAGGGAGGAGGAAGCGAGAAAGGTGGATATTGTATGCGAGAGGGAATGCGAGTGTGATTCTGAGGTCGAAGACGTCGTAGAAGACAGAGAATGATTCGTTAACCCTATGGCAGCATGCGGATATGAAGACGGACTTCGGCGTGCACAAACGACACGAGACCCGTCACCCTCAAGTTCCCCTCTGGGTTCAGAGACGGTTTCATTGGGACTAGGAGGAGCAAAGAAGCCTTGGAGGGCTTGATACATCATTTCCTGGGAGCTGTCGTAGTACTTTGGTGAGAAGAGTCTCTCGAGGGTATCGTATCCCAAGAGAAACGTCAACTGGACTCCGGGAGAGGAAGTTGCAAAGCTGTTAGCGGCCGGTTTATCCGCTTCAAGCGATACCGAGTCCTTCGAAAGGGCCTGCATCTGTAGTCGAAGCCTCTCCTTCAAAAACACCCGTAACAGTCTCGATTTCCCAACAAACGTTGGTTCGTCGATAATGGCTACTGCAATATCAGCGCTACTGCTAGCGCTTTCGCCAATGTCTTTTTCTTGAAGATCCTTCGCCAGCTCAATCATCATCTCTAACCGCTGCACATATGTTGCGTCGTTCGGTTTGAGCTGTTTATCTGCGTTTCGAACTGAGAGAAGGAGGAGTTTAGCGTCGTAGCCCGAGTTCGAGTCAATACGATGATCCTGAGATTCGCTTGCACGCAGTGAGCTCGGCGCCGGAGCTTCTGCTAAAGCAAAATGAGCAAGAGTAGGTGGGTTGAAGGACGAGTCTAGGACAGAGATTTGGATTTTTTCCGGGGAAGGGCGACTAGGCAATCGACTGGGATTCGGAAGAGGCCAAGAGGAATGAGAAGCCCAGACAACTTCAACTGGTGGATGAACAAGGCCTGTACGGAGACGTTGAAGGGAAGACGATAAGGACAGGGATGACATTACTGGAAAACTACTCTGTCCGTTAGAATCCTGCAAGCTTGTAGAATAAATGAAGCTGACTATGAATGTGGTGTGCTGCTATGGCTCGCAGATGAACGTTTGGAATAGAGGAGATCATGATGGAAGCTGAAGAGCCGCCTGATCTTATCACAACCACATCATCTACGCTTAAACTCTCCTTTCTCCAACAATGCCACAGGATTTCAGGCTTCAGCTCGTTGACAAAGAGCATGATGTTTCCGGAAGGATTAGTGGAAGTCTACCTTTCGTGCTATGGTAAGGTCAAATCGAGGCGTGTAAAAAGTAACCTTGGCTGTATTCTGTGAAGCTAATCAATATCAATTCCACAATCCAGGCGCCGATATGTAATCGTCAACCGTTCAGAACGAGAAGATGGTTTATATGATTTATAGCATCGCTGGTCTGTGTGCGGTTTCGATCGCCGGCGAAGATACTCGATTTACTCTCCTCACGGACGAAGTGCCTCCATCTATCCGACAGTGGTTTGAATTTCTAGTTCCCATTCCGAAGTCCTTGTCCTATGAGCTGTCTTGTCTTACCTGACGTCTACGAAGATAGTCTCGACTGCCCGTTCACCTCTTGGTCAGGAAACTTTTTCTTTTGCAGTGCATAGTGCTAGTATCGCATACTTCAGCATCAATGAAGATTTCAGTGGAATACTCGAGACTGCTGGCAGGAGTGTCTATCGGTAAACATACTTACCATCTTTGTTTCTGTCGTATTGCTCGTTAAATTCATGCCTCCAAACTTCTAGAACTTATCTTCAGAGTCGAATTCAAAGCACGTACTATTCATTCGTGTTTCGGTGCGCGTCAACTAGTCAGATACCAAGGGCTCTGAAGACGTTCGGGAATGGTATCTGCTGGCGAAATTTACAAGGGCAAAAGAGAGTGTGGTAGTTAAATCTGCATTGCGCGTTGCCCGCATAGCTCAGTCGGATACTCTTATACTTACAACGTCCAAGCTGTGAACTGAAGGCTCTTGTGGTGGGCTTCTCTTCTAGTTTTGCTTTTGGTATTTCCGCTCAGCGGAAACTCGGGTTCGAGACAAGATGCTTTCGGGCGCCTGATCTCGCATAATGTTAGAAATGACGGTGCAGGAGCAACTACAACATTTGTCCTTATTCTAAAAGATGGACCTAAAACGGCAGCCTACTAGTAACTACTCCATAATTATTTCTAACCCATGTAGTTTAGATATGACGGCAATGCTACTCATATCTTTGCGAAATCCCCGGAGCGTTACCTTCTGTAACCTAACCAACCTTTAGATTGCCTACCCAAGCCATGGACTTCCAGCCCCGGTGTGTCTGGCCACCATCGAGAAAGGACCATGGGCGTCAATTCTACCGGCGGAAGTGTATCCTTAAAGAATCTTCGATCCACTGCCACCGCCACCAGCACGATATCTGTGAGCTTTGGAAGAAGGATATTCGAGCAACCTTCCGTATAAGTCAACGCTCGGAGTATAGGATTCATATCAAGCCTACACTTTCGATACAAAACGACTGATTGGAGAGAATAGAGAGAGCATTGCAATCAACTGCTCAGTAACACGACCATCGTCAAAGGACGTGAGTTTCAGTGACGACAACGGAAACGTTGAGAATCGATTGCGTCCACAACAAGTCGGGGACCACGCCGGCGATGGTAATTAAGAGTCAAGTGTTAAGGAAAGGCGCAGTGAAGCAGGATAACATACTTGCACCTTCACGCCTCACGTTAGGACAGGAGACTGCTAGTGTCCTCAACTTGGGGAAAGATATGGAAGTGAACTCGGGGAAGGTACTACCACACGACGTCGGCAGGTAAATTTCAAGATGAACGAGATCTTTGCACTGCTGTAGCAGTTCTACAAAGACGGCTGGGGGAGATCTGGGAAATCCAAAGGAGCCACAGAGGTTCAGCGTAAGTGAAGTCAGTTGTTGCGCTGGTAGCCTCAATAATTCGAGGATATAGGAATCGTCAAAGCAGAGTTTGACATGTTCTAGTCTGGGCGCGGACGAAAAGACCTCAATTTTGTTTGGGAAATGAGTTTTTAGCATCCTAACCGTGTCACCTACCAGAGGATAGATGCTAAACGACACATCTTCTAATAGAGGTAAGGAAGAAGGTGGCAAACGGAAGATAGGAAGATATGATGAGGGTGTCCCCGAGAGCATCAGTAACCGAATGCGACCAAAGGGAATGGGGATGGAGCTCAACGTTTGACTCGCAACGTCCCCGAACACATTGTGTAGATACAAATCCAAGGGAAAACTTTGACTGTGAGCGATCCAATCGTTAATGTACTGAATCTCTCCCATATTGCCAGCCTTGTGAAAGCTAAGACATAGTTTCAACCAGAGTCGAGGGGTTCCATGCGCGGCCTTTCTCCAGGCTATACAGACACCACATATGATGTGCATTTTTCTGAAGAGATTGAAGTGGCCAGCATTTTCGGGAATACATGAAACCTCGAAGATTTCTGAAAGAATCTCCAATGGAATTCGGCGAACGGGTGCCAGGATATTTTGGAAAGAAGCAATCTCAATGAGCTTCGCATCCTTTTGACGCGTCAACTCGGAGATTCGTGCGACGGTTGCGCGTCCGGGATTATGATTCAGAAGAAGAAACGATTCCAGGACAAGCACCTTGAATTTCGAAGTCGATGGGATGCGAACGCGAGCGATTTGGCCTTCGAGGTTCTCTATCTGAGTCTTCGTTTCGAATATTCGAGTGCGAAGGAAGGATATGTCGTCTGTTTCGAGCCATATAGGCTCTTCGATACGAGCTCGGGATAGAAATCGAGCCATGTAGTGTACACAAGAAAGCAACGACGGAAAGTCTGAAACCGACTGATGATGGTCAGAGAAAGAGAAAAGCTAAATAAAAGTTGTTGTAATATTAACTTCAACGGCTTCAACGGCTCCAGCTTCACTTCACTATTAGCTTGAAACCCAAGGGATCGCTTACTGCCGCCACCGGCAATTTCTTGGCCTCACATTGCACAACCTCTTCAAAGTCAACATGGACCAGCCTCCCGCCGAGATTCATATTACCGCCGTGGCTTACCATGGTGAAAGACACAAAGCTCCAGTCGCATGCAGACACGATACCGGTTCGCTAGACTCGAGCCAGTCGCGTATGATCAGCGACGTTTGATATATCATGCTTCAGCATCGATCGTCTTCATCGACCGACACAGCGCTGGTCGAGTCTAGGTTCGCTATGCGACAAGCTGCGATCGCAATTTCCGAAATCCGTTCCTGGAGTGATGCATGGCTTCCTAGCGAGCCTGTTGAATACTCCGAGGTGTGGAAAAAATCTATAGAGCGCGGAGGACTCGAAAAATGGTGTACAAGATTGTATTTTCCGAAAGCCCTCAGAGAACTCAAGCTCCATAGTTCGACAAACCCCGACCATGTAGACATACTGTTTACACTTCCCAGTAAGCAGGAACGCTTTTCATTGCAAATTCTTGACTGAGAGACTCACTCGTAGGTGATGAGTCTCTCCCTGCGCCAGTTATTCTAGAAGGTCCCTCCGGATGGACCGCACGAATTTTCGGTAAACGTAGGTTCCTCAATTCTGGCCTGGATACTTCCTGCATGCCGCCGTTATCGCGAATCCCTCTGTTGACCTGAACGCCGAAGTTTACTTTGTCTATGGTCGTAACCGTGTGAGGTGGAAGAACCGTGATTTGTGTGAAGAAATTTCTCCAAATGATAAGTTTATCATCGGTGAGTTTTAGTAGCTTTCATCGAGCTCAGAAC